ATGCATCAGAGAGCTGGACAATGATTAGGGAGGATAGAAGGAGAATTGATGCCTTTGAGCTGTCGTGCTGGAGAAGAGCATTTGAGTGTACCGTGGACTGCTAAGAAAACAGATTCATCCTGGAGAGTGTTAAACCAGGCTGCTCCTTGGAGGCAAGAAATCTGAGGCCTCGTCTGACATACTTTGGACATTTTGAAAGGAGGGACTGATTCTTGGAAAAGGGTGTCATACTTGGGAGGGTCGAGGGACAGCACAAGAGGAAAAGACCCTCTATGATGTGGATTGATTCAGTGACTCGGGTAATTGAGGTGGGTGTGTTAGAGGCAATGAGATTGGCACAGGACAGAGCAGGGTTTCGACAGCACATAACAACAAAACAACAAGAATGTTATGTAGATGAACTCTAGGATGAAACTCTTTAGAAATTGACATTATTATTATTATTATTATTATTATTTCTTTTTATTGTTATTGTTATTCAGTATGATTAAGTTTCTTGAGCTCCATCTAGGTTGCAAGTGTAAATAGTTTGTTCCTTTTTGTTACTGAGTACTAGTCCATGACATGAATATATCATATTCTAGCAACTTGATTTGAGTAGTTCCTGGTGTTTTGCTTTTATGACATAAAGGTGCTGTAAACATTCATGAAGTCTGGGTTTCCTGGCATGAAATCATTATCACCTGAGGACAACAGCGAGAGGTGCCCCTCAGTATCTGTGTGACTTTCAACTTCATTCATAGTTAGCACTATGCAGAAAATGATAGGTTTGTTATTTTTTATAATGTAATTATACACTGTTATTTGTGTAATTAATAACATAATTATACAAAGTTCTATTTGTGTAATTATGTTCAAAAGATTGTCCTGCATTAAGCATATAATAAATAGCCCTCTTTTTAGAAATTATAAATTCATTAACTGTTTCTAAACATATCACATGGAAAACTTTTTGAAATTTTTTAGTTATTAGAATCCAGAGACAAAGCTGTCGAGGTCAAATAGAAGATAATTTTTTTTTCCTTCAGTAAATCAATCAGCTAATAACTATTTTAGAGAACTTTGATGGCTTAGTGCTAAGGAATTGCACTGCCACTGAGAGGTACATGGTTCAAATCCTCCATCTGTTCCACAGAAGAAAGTTGAACATTCTCCTCTGGTGTGATTTATAGCCTCTGAAAATCCACTGGAGAGTCAGCTGTGGGTTGGTTCCTACTTGAACATACACAACAACAACAAGAAGCAATAACTATAAAAGGGGGGGGGAAACTGTCCCAAATAAGAAAGATTCTTGAGTGCCTAAATTTCTAGGCATTTTTTTTGTGGTAAAAATATATCACATAAAATTTTCCATTCCCATATTAACTTTTTTATGTGTACATACAGTTCAGTCTCGATTATTGTTGTGCATCCATTACCACTCTTTAGTTTCTGAACTTTTTCTTCATTTCATACTGAACCCATTAAGCAATATCTCCTAGCCTTTATTAACCACTAATCTATTTTCTGTAATTGTACATTTGTTTTAGGTATTTCATGAGTGGGACGGTACAGTATTTATCCTTTAGTGTCCAACTCATTTCACTCATTCTAGTATTTTATCAGAGTTCTTTTATATCATAGCATGAACATAGCATATGTTTGACCACCATCCCTAGTTAACAGGATGTATTAAAACATCAACAGTTTTATTTTTTAAAAGTAAGTGTTCCCAATTGGAGAATTTATGAATTGGGTGATGGCAGTAATTTAGGAATCAGCAAAAACTAGAATTTCTTTTGCCTTTATTATTGTTGTTATGTGCTGTCAGGTTACCCACAACTCATAGCTACCTTATGAACAGTAGCTCTGAAGCCTTCCCTTTCCTGAGCCAGTCTTAACTCCAATAAACCTATCCTCATTGTCCTATTTACATATCAATCCATCTCATCCAGGGTCTTCCTATCCTGTGCTGTCCCTCCACCCTTCTGAGCATGATATCCTTCTCAAAGGATCAGTCCCTCCAGGCCACATGTCCAAAGTATGTGAGATGGAGCTTCAAAATCCTAACCTCCAAGGAGAAACTTGGTTTCACCTTCTCCAAGACAGACCTATTTGTTTTCTTGGCAATCCATAGCAAGACTCTTCTCCAGCACCACAACTCTAAAGCATAAAATCTTTTATCCTCCTTAATCTTTATCCAGCTCTCTGGTGCATAGCAGGTAATTGAACACCATGGAATGGATTGGGCGTACCTTAGTCTCTATACTGACATCATTGCTTCTCAGTATTCTGGAAAAATCCCCGACAGCAGATTTACCTAATGCAGTTCGCCTTTAGATTTCCTGTCTGCTGGTCCCAAAAGTGTTGACTGTGGAGCCAAGCAAGCTGTGATTGTTAACAACTGCATCTCTTCTCCATCCATCTTGGAGATGCTGATTGGCCCAGTGATAAGAATCTTTGTCTTCTTGATCTTGAGCTTCAAGTCATATTGAAGACTACAGTCCTTGACCTTCTATTGCAGGAAATAACATAAAAGATATTCAGTTGGAAATAATTGAAACATTTGACTAATTTTTGGAGATGTCTTATTTTTAGCGTATATTTGTGTATGTTTTAAGATTGTTTTTTAATCTGGGTGCATAGACTGATTGATAGTCTGCATTTCGAGTGTTGCTCAATGACCTTTTTGCCTCCCTTTTAATGCCTTTAATTACTGGATTAACTTCTCTAGTATTTTTGTATACATGGGGAGCTCTAATGGAGTAGTCTGTAGGAAGGTTGCCTAAAGACCATCCCTCTCATGGTGGTTTTGAATCCTTGGAAGAAAGACAGTCTCCTCTCTTGTGATTCACAGCCTCTGAAACTTAATGGTGAGTCAGTTGTGAGGCAATTACATATGACGCAGTGGCATTGAGAACTCAAGTGGTTCTGTCACACTTTATGCATATCCTTGTTCTGAGCATTTTTATACTTTGAATTTTATTCTTATGGTAGAATTAGAATTCAAGAAGTGAAAGATTGCTATTATCACCCTTGGATACAAATTCCTGTGTATTATTTCCAACTAATGGTGATCATGTATGTCATAATAGGACTGTGTGTTCCATAGCATTCTCAGTGGTTAATTTTTTAAAAATTTTTTAAAAATTATTTTTGTGTGTGTGTACAGTCAAATCAGATCTGACTAGTACAGGAGGAGATTGTCCTTCCTTCTCCATCAGAGCATCTGGTGGATTCAAACCGCGGACCTCTGGAGTTGCAGTGCAGCTTCTTGCCACTAGGCCACCACAGCTCCCAGTGGTTAATTTTCAAGGAAAAATAACTAAGTCTTTCTTGTGAAGTACCCCTTAGTGGACTAGAACCTCCAAATTCCTGGTTAACATGCAAGCATGTTAATTGTTAGCATCACCCAGGGAGTCCATAATATATATTGTTAAGTTGCTTTCTAAAACAAGTATACTTTCCCAGAAAAGGATGGGAATCTTAAGTTTTCTAAATTTTTTATTGTGATTTGAGTGAAAATTTTCAGAGCAAATTGGCTTTCCATTTAACAATTTGTAAACACTGTATTTGTGACATTAGTTACTGTCTTCACATTGTAGCATTAGTCTTCTAGTTTTGTTTCTGTTTCTTAATTGTATTAATCCTTCTTTCCCTTCCTGTCTTTTAAGCTTTTTGATCTTGTGTAGTGATTGAATGTTCTAAGGAGTGCTTGCCTCCTTGATATTATATCACTTTAGATCACCTTATGGGCCTGTCTCGTTTTGCTGGAAGTGGAGTCAAATGGAAAGGAGATTTAGTCTAAAAACATTTTTTTAACACAACAGAGATTTCTTGTTTTCTTTGTGTTTATTGCTAATTATATTCCTATATTTTCATATTTGTTTAATGACAGTTGAGGTAGTATTCTGTCTTATCCATAATCTTTCTTGGCCATTTTATTACACTTACCCTGCTTTCTTTGCATTAACTGCCTGAGTCCCTTGGTAGTAGTTCTTTTAATGTTTTGTTTTCTCTTTTAATATTTTTTATGTCAGACTCAGTTGTTAGCTCTTGTCAAGTCAGCCCTGCCTCATGTAGTCACCCCGTGCATAACAGGGGAAACAATGCTGTGGTATCACCAGGATCGGCAGTGTACTTCTGTGTTCCGTAAAGTTTTCAGTGACTAATTTTCAGAACTCTGGTGGCCTAGTGGCAAGAAGCTGCACTGCAATCCCAAAGGCCATTGGTGAGAATCCACCTGCTACTCCATGGAAAAGGATGAGTAATCGCTTTCATGCGATTAATTGCCTCTGAAAACCTGCTGGAGGGTCAGTTATGGGTCGATTCTGACTTGGTGGTACACAAAAACACAACAACAACAACAAAATCTTTGTTTTCAGTCTGTCTTAGTCTGGAACCTCTTATGAAACCTTTGCAGCATCATAGCACCCTGCAAGCTCCCACTGGCATGTAGGTTGTAACAGTGCAGGGTGTGCATGGCCTCTCTTAATGGAAGGCAAGAATTCTATCACTGAACCACTGTGGCCTTCATCAGACTAAAAATAATAATAAAAATGTAACTTGAGCTGAAGTAGTAATGCCTAAGGTAAGTATTTTTCTATGAGCAATTTTGCTCTTGGTCAAGGACTTCCTGTCACATCTTAATTTAATCCTAGAAGATTTTGAGCCTAAATAAGCAATGTTGCTATTAGCATATACATAGGCCATGTTAGGACATGGATCTTCATTTATATGTAGTAATTATATGCTTATCCATGCTATTAGAAAGGAAATCACTCTCAGTAGGTGGGTTACTACTTGGTTGGCATATAATAGATCATGAACAATGTGGCAGATAGACTTTTAAGACCTGAGGGTAATGAGTAAAGGGAAGTGCACTCTTCATACTAAAAGGGCTTATTTTGTAAATGAGAGGTAAAATGAAATTCCTGAGTAGTGTAGCATTAGAAGTCCAGTGCTTTGGAAGTGGTAAAATGTATAAATAAAATACTGTTTTGTTTTGTTTTTAAATTTTCAGGTTTACAAGTAAAAGTCAACAAACTGAAAAAGGAACGAATTTTGTAAGTGTCAGTATATAACGTTGACGTCTTTTAAAGGAATTGATTCTTAGGTCCTGTTACACCTCAATATTTTGTTTATAAGAAAATTAGCTTTACTTAGAATGGATCTTAAATAATTGACTCCTTTTTAAAAACTTTTTAAACTAAAGTGCATAACTTTGAATTTTAAGTTTATCTCTAGTTAATATGTGTTTCTTTTTAATGTCACTTTTACGTGTACACATCTTTTTCCATGCAGTTTTTAAGACTTGAGCTGATCTGTAAATTCATTCTGATCCATCTGTCAGCAGCATTCTTTTCTCATCTAAGAGCTCAAAAAACTCATTCCTGTCATGTCCATACTAAACATAGCTGACCTTCCAGTGGGGTTTTCAGATGGTATAAACCATCTTGAGATTGCCCATCTTTCTCACAGGGAGCAGCTGGACGATTTGAACTGCCAGAGTGGTACAGTGCCGTAGCTCCCCACATACTACACTCTTTGAAGTAAGAGAACACTACAAGAAGGATAATGTGACTTTTATAAGTTACAAAATAGACATTACGTGGATATTGAGATATACTTACTCATGGTCTTCAGAACTTCCGCACATAGGAATCTGAATCAGGTTTTACAGCAGAATATAGGTAATAAACATAACAAAAGTCATTGTCAGCGAGCTAGTGCAGTTGCATTTGCTTTGTGATCTCTACCTTCAGCCTCAGTTACTTTAGGTTTGTGAAGTGTCCAACACTAACAGAAAGCTGGTTACTAGTACCTCATCAGACACACCCAATTGTTTTAATCATTATTTGAGGGCAAGAATGATGAGACTTCGTCTCACATACTTTGGGCACGTTGCTCGGAGGGGCTGTTCCTTAGAGAAGGACATGATGCCAGGAAAGGTGAAGGGTCGGTGAGGGAGAGGAAGACGAAGATCCTCAACCAGGGGGATTGACACGGTAAATGCTACAACGGGTTCTTGTGTGTCAGCAAGTATGAGGATGATGCAGTGGTGCAGGTTAGAACAGGGTTTCCAATCTTTTGTTCACAGGGTCACTATGAGTCATACTCAGTTCAACAGCACCGAACAACAGCAGTGTGGAAAATCATGTTAGACTTAGATTCAGAAATATAAAAGAATTTTGAAAAGTTTTGTTTTCAATAATTTTGTGAGTATTCTTCGCTGAGGGAGCTCTGCTGGCCTAGTGGTAAGAAGCTGCACTACAGTCTCAAAGGCATGTAGTGCAAGGCTACCAGTTGCTCCACAGGAAAAGGATGGGCATGATGTATGATTAACTGACTCTGAAAACCTGCTGGAAGGTCAGCTATGGATCGGTTCTGACTCAGCGATACACAACAACAATAACAACAACATTCTTAGCTATGAACACTTTTAAATCCTTTTCAGTATTGAAAGTGTGCATTTTCCAACATTAAAGCTGTTATTTTAAACACCCTTAAGAGAGGCTACCACAGTGCTCCCAAGCACAACGGCAGTTGAATTGTGATGTTTTGCACTGGCTCAGGCAGTGTTTCACTCTTTTGTATGAGGGCTTTCTGTGAGTTGGCACCCGTTAGCAGTACCAAACAACTATAGAGTAACCACCTCTGTTTTTCTTCTAAAACTATATTTTAAAAAACTCATTTCTGACAACCTTTTATGAATTCCAATTCTTACTGGGTTTCTGAGACTATAAAAAGTTAAGGAAAGGTTTACACACTGATGGGACCATTTTTGAATGGTTACCATGGATGAACAGGCAAGGGGAGGGGAATGAAAATCAATAAATAGGTGAAGGGAAAGGATATACTATACAATTAAGGGTTGATAAGAATTCTCAATAACATTAATCTGTTGTATTTTAGTGTTATAAACCAAAATGTGTATGAATGATGGAATGAAGAGCTCATTTTATTAATATATTCTCAGACAAAATTAAAAAGAAAATCTTAGCAGGAGAATACTGCTCATCTTTCTCCCTCAGAGCCTTTGGTGTATTTAAAACATCAGAAACACACAGCCATTTGGTTAGAAGTGCAGCACACCACCAGAGCACTTGTTTCTTTACTTCTAAAGGAAATTTAATAGGCATATTTTGGTAGCATATTTAGGTTGCATAAAAGACTGATTTTTCAAAACGGATTACGCCTCCAACATAAAACAAAATTCCTCACACCTAGGCCAGTAGGCAACATCGTGTTAGATGGAGAAAAGATTCAAGTTGTCAAGGGTTTTATTTTAGTTGGATCTACAATCAGTACTCAGAGGTTGCGGCAGTCAAGGAATGAAACAATATGTAGACTGAGCAAATTTATTTCCAAGGATATCTTTTTAATTCAGGGATGTCAGAAGATGAAGGTGCTCCTGACCCAAGCCATCGTATATTCAGTTGCTTTATATGTGTTTGCAAGTTGAACAGTGAATAAGGAAGACTGAAGAATTAATGCCTTTGAATTGTGGTGCTAGTGAAAAAGAATTGAAAATCATCATGGACAGTCAGAAGATCAAACACATCTGTCATGGGAGAAGTGTAGTTAGAGTTAGAAGTAAGCAAGTTTGGGAATGCTGTCAGAAGCCAGTTCTTGGAAAAGTAGTCAGTAAAAGAGAAGGCTTCATAAATATGGATTGACATGTTTACAGCAACAGTGAGTTTATGCATAGGAGAGATTGTGAGGATAGCACATGATTGGCCAAAGTTCCTCTTGTACATAGGTTCCTATTGTATATTGCTATAAGTTGGAGCTGATTTGACATCCCAGAGCAACAATGCTGATTCTGTCACTTTGTAAACCTTTCTTTGGCTTTTTATAGTCTCTATGCAAAAGCATTTGATTGTGTAGATCCTAACAAACTATAGCTAACCTTGAGAAGAATGAAAGTTCCAGAACACTTCATTATGTTTCTACAAAATCATCTGCAGTGCATCTGAGAACTGGACTGTGAATAAGGGTGACAGGCAAAGAGTCCATATATTTGAGTGTTGGTGTTGGAGTAGAGTGCTAAATATCTCATGAACTGCAAAGAGAACAAATTTTTAGAGAAAGTGAAACCAGAGGGCTCCTTGGAGGCAGAGATGGTGAAGCTATATTTTACATACATTGCTCAGAGAGACTGTTCCTTAGACAGAGACATCATGCTTGCAAAGGTAGAGGGTCGGCAAAGGAGAGGAAGACCCTCTATGAGATGGATTGATAATGTCTGCGGCCGTGGCACAGGATAGGACAGATTCAGATCTCTTGTTCATAGACTCATTGTAAGTTGTACTTGACTCAACAGAACTAAACAACAGTGGCAATGATGGTTTTTAATATAAAGATATGTGAATAGATAAAGATCTATCTTAATGTGTGTGAGTATACGCTTAGGCTTGGTCCATTGATGATATATAAGTACTTAAAACTCAGCAGCAGTTAAGTGTATGTAGAGCCTGCACCTTGAATTTTTTTTTTTTTTTTGGCACCTTGAATTTTGAAACAGTGTTCACCAATACAAGGAATCAAGGCTCTTTAGAGAGATGGCAGATTCAAAGGCTGTGATACAGAAAGTACAAAATAGCATCATATGGTGCCATAAAATAAGGAAGTGTCTCCAGAATGGAGGATCTACAAAGAAGAAAGAGTTCCTAGACCAGGTGGATTGACGCAGTGACTACTGCAAAGGGCTTTTGTGTGTCACGAAGCGTGAGGATGGCACAGGATAGAACAGGGTTCAGATCTTTTGTTCATAGGGTTGCTATGAGTTGTACTTGACTCACTGACACCTAATGACAAAACCCACCCAAAATAATGCAGGATTGTTGAGGAGATATAGGTAACAACTCCATAAAGTTCCCAGTGGCAAAATCTAGTACAGCTTAGTAGTGAAATAATAATTCTAGTAATGGATTATAACACATAAAATAAAGTTAAACCTTAGTGGAAAATACATGAATAAAAGAGAGGAGACTACTCTTTCTTAAGATAATTATGATTAGTAAATGTGGAAAGAATGATGAATATAGGAAATCACAGTTTGTCACATACCACAGCAGAAATTGTTGCAGGCAAGATCATCAAGTGGAGACTGAAATGGGTAGATGAAGAAAAGTGAGAATAAAGTATTTGGATAGTCTTACAATCTCTTCCCCAGATTTTATCCGTTACAAAGGGGAAAAGAATAATACTACAGTGGAAAGAATGAACAAACTCCATCTCAAGCAAAGGAGCTAAGTTAACATAAGTAATGACTCCATCAGCCTCATGCTCCTCCTGAAAGATGGTCTGAGAAAGGCACAGCATCATTATCATATTTTTTTTTCAAAATGCATAACTCAAACATCAGACACACCCAAAACGAGGGAGAGTCTACGAAATAATTGGCAAGATCATGAAGAATAGAAAAGATGTGGCTCTGCTAATTTCTGACCTACTGACACTCAGTGCTCTCTTGAGTTTGATAGTTTGCTACAATGACTCAACAGAGCATTATACTTACTCTTAATAGTTTTATTATAGCAAAGATGAAACATATGAAGAAATGCATACAGCAAGATGTAGAAGAATTCCCAACATGGAACTTCCGTCTTCCAAAGTGAGATGTGTTACCCTCCTAAATACATGGAGCTTCCTTGCCTAGAGCCTCTGTTGTTGTTGTTTCGTGCCATCAAGCAGACAGTGACTCATAACGAACCTATCTTTGAACAACAGCTGTGAACTCTGGTCTGTCCTGCACCAGTTCATCGTTTCTGACACACCTACCTCACCTTAGTCATTGAGTCAATCCATCTCATCCAAGGACTTTCCACACTTCCAAGCATAATGTCCTTTTCCAAGGACTGATCCCTCTTTGCAGCATGCCCATAGTATGTCAGACAGAACTTTAAAATCCTTACTTCCAAGGAATAGCCTGGTTTCACCCTCTCCAGGATGAACCTGTTTGTTCTCTTAAAAGTTCATGGTATATTCCGTATTCTTCTCCAGCACCACAGCTCAAAAGCGTCAGTTCTTCTGCCATCCTTAGTCATTGTCCAGGTCTCTGATGTCTCATTATTGGTCACGGATCGGATGAATTACACCTCCTCCCCTGAGGTCTACTTGTGTCACAGACTGGTCTTTCTGGCACTGCCAGCCCCACCTCAGTCACCTACTTAGCCTAACCTGGCAAATCTAAAACCCTCTAGATACCAGAGGTAACTTCAGACACTGAGCAAAGGCCAAGGTTATCACCACAATCAAGGACAAAGATAACATCTCTGGATAATGTTGATACCTCCCTGACCTGCTGATTTAATTTACTTATCTCTTTTCCTGTCAGTGATGTTCTCCATTCTGGCCGCTTGAACACAGTCACTGTGATACTTGCTTGTTGTGGCACGCTGGTTCACCACCCTCATCTGATTAGTTAGATTTTCTAGACCCTTGAGAGGAGTTAGAGGAGAGGTTCATATCACAATATTGTCCTGTATTTTCAACTTCAAGATAGTGCAGAAAATTCCAATTAGATTTTTGATGGGTTTTATTAGAATTCAAATATATACATATTTTCTGTATTTAATGTGTATTTTTAAAATGATGGAGTAAATTTTGCCATAAGCTTAGAAGGTCTACTACATGAAAATTTGAGATGTCTTTGCTCTTTTTCTGATAATAATAAACATTTAAAGAGGAGTTATGTGCCCGTGCTATTTTATATACAATATATACGTTAATACTTAAGTCTTTGCAAATGTGTTATAACGTAGGTATTATTGTATCTACATTTTGGGGGGTGCACAGATTTACTTGAGCCAGGTCATTTGGTTCAAATAAATTTGACTGGTAAACAACAGAGCTGGCATTCAGACCCAGCCATCTCAGGTGGTGGTGGTTGTTGTATAGCTGTTGAGTTAGAACCAATCCATAGCTGATCCTCAAGCATATTTCCAGAAGCAGTAAATCCCACAGAAGGAGATTGCCCACCCTTCTCCAGTGGAGCAGCTGGTGGATTCAAACCACATAGCTTTGTGCTGGCAGAAAAATCTTTACTATAAGTATTACCATAAGTAAAAACTTATAAATTTGAAAGTACAGGCATCTCTTAATTGCAATTAGAGATGGTATGAGTAGACATGCCTATGTTTACATTAACAAAAGTACACAAAAAACAGAGTGTACATTTTTATATCTGTTAACATAATGTTGAGCCAATGCTGGTGTCAGAATTCACTCTTGTATTCTAGTGGTGAATAACAAATGCTGGTTACTTAGGCTAGTTCTTTTTGAACTCTGGTGGCTTAGTGGCTCAAGGAGTTGCGCCTGAACCCAAAGGCTTGTGCTTCAAATCCACTGACTACTGTGAGGAAAAAAGATGGGCATTTTCTTCCCATGCAGTTTACAGCCTCTTAATACCCATTGGAAGGCCAGCTATGAGTCAATTCCAATTCAGCAGTGCTTAACAACATCATAGTGTATAGCTGGTGGTCTAGTAGGGAAGGAGTTGCTCTGCCAACTCAAGAACATGCAGTTCAAATTCATCAGCTGCTCCAAAGGAGAAAGATGGGCAGTTTTCTCTTGTGTGATTTATAGCTTCTGAAAAACTTGATAGAGGATCAGTTAAGAGTTCAGTTCTGCCTCAAAGGCAATGAGTTGCTGAGTTGTATAGTGCATGATAGTACCACCAAGGAAATTCTGATATGATTGGAACTTGGATAAACAAGCAGTGTCAGCTTTTGTTTCCATATAAGAAATTAATTATATGTAACTGATGAGACTTGACATTGGAATTCTTTATAACAAAATAATTTTATAAGAATATTTTTTCTTCTCCCAAAAATTTTATTTCTTTGCTTTTAGAGATGCACAAAGACTTGAAGAATTTTTCACCAAAAACCAACAACTGAGAGAGCAACAGAAAGTCCTTCATGAAACCATTAAAGTTTTGGAAGATCGGTGAGTCTAGTACTTAGATTTTTCATGTAACATTACCATTCTTTTTAACTTATAATCTGTTTTGTGATTGAAAGTGAATTTCCCCCCCTTCAATTCTATCATCTTTTAGTACGTAGTTCATAAAGTAATACGTTCTTGGGTTTGAGGTTTTTTTGTTGTTGTTTTGGCTTTGGTTTTTTGTTTGGTTTGGTTTTTATTTTTTTTTTTATTAAAACAAAAATAATCACATCACTTTATACTTGGAATGGTATCTTTACCTGATGTTTGATGTAGGATGGGGTTAAATGTGATGGTGTTATTAATTAGGTGCCATTGAGTTGTCTCCAGCGCAGTGTGTGCACAACAGTTCAGACCCTGCACCATCTTCATAATCTCTGCTGTGTTTAAGCCCTTTGTAGCAATCACTGTAAAATCATCTCATTGAGGATCTTCCACACTTCCTTTGACCCTCCACCTTTCCAAGCGTGATGTCTCTTCTAGGAACTGGATGGACTTTCTTAGCAGCATGACCAAAGTGTATGAGGCAAAGTCTCAACCATCCTTGCCTCTAAGGAACACACTAGCTACACTCCTTCAGAAACAAAATTTGTTTATTCTTTTGGCAGCCTATGGTATATTCAATGTTCTTCACCATGACAGGCAATTCAAAGACATCAGTTCTTCAGTTTTCCTTAATCATTACTGAACTTTGACAAGCATTAAGAAATTTAAAGAGTAGTAGTGTTCTAATTCTTTTGATACCTTAATTCCATTTTTAAGTCTTAAGAAGATAAAAAATACTTTGGAATTTTATTCTTGCCTTTTCTTATTTTAAGGTTCTCTACCGGCAAAGTGATAAATATCTCATTTTCTAATTGAATGATTAGTGATTGGAACCTACCAGCTGCTTGATGGGGAAGAAGGTGCAGCAGCCTAGAAACCCCAAGTGTAGTTCTACCTGTCTTATAGGGTTGCTATTAGTATCGACTCACTGGCAACAGGGTCCCATGTTCCAACTGTTCTCTGTGTACCAGGGTTTCAGAAGAGTTCATTCATGGCTAAAAAAGCAAAATAACAATAGAGGTGAAATTTTAAAATTTGGGTAAAACAGAAGGATAACTGAAATGGGGAAAATTACAAATTGAAGACCTGGAATGAGAAAGTAGAGGCAGTGTGGACCTGTTCAGGAGCATGATGTAAGAGATCAAACTGTTGCCAGGACTGTGGACAGTGACACACACAGTGGTTGACCGCCATCTTTAAGCAGGTCCCCTTTGTTCCTAACTTGACCAGCTTAGGTATTTGGAAGCTGTGCAACACATCTGCTGCCTTTGTTTTCTAAGAGGGAGATTAAATTTCTAGTAGGTCCTCAATTGTGAATTTTCCCTTTGCTTCCATCAGTTGGAAGTTTCCTTCTATCTGATCCACATTTTACAAATTCAAGTCTCTTCTCAGGGCCTTTTATTTTATATTCATGACTGAACAGGGAAGAACATACTCCTCCACTGCTAGAAAGTCTGGAGATTCTTCTTTCTGAATATTCCTGAGATAATGCCTACTAATTCCTTCACCTCCACACACAGATTTCTTTCTTTCAATTCTTTGCAGGTAATACCCAGGGACAAAGACAACTTAGAGGATTTGTTCTCTTAGTTTCTCTAACTTAAAATGCTAGGTAGGACCTCGAACTAGAAACTGTGTTGTTCTTAGTGCCATTGAGTCGGAACTCTGATTCATATCAATTCTTCAGAGCAGACCTGAACCCTGCCTTGTCCTGCACATCCTCAAGATCATCAATTTGCTCGAGTCCTTTTGTTAATAGTAACTGTGTCAGTCTGTTTTGTTTAGAGTCGTTCCTTCTTTCTCTGACCTTCTCCCTTTCTCAGAATAATGTCTTCTTGCAAGGACTAGCTCCTCCTGACAACATGCCCCACGTTTATGAGATGAACTTTGCTTATCCTTGCCTCTAAGGAGTACCTTGGTTGCCCTTCCTTCAGGACAAATTTGTTTATTCTTTTATCAGAACATGGGATATTTAGTACTCTTCTCCAATACCACATTCAAAAGCATCGATGATTCCATCATCCAGCTTTCACATTGTCCAACTTTGAGGTGCATTGAATGTAATGCAAAAGACCATAGATAGAAACAGGCACACTTTAGTCTTTAAGCTGACATTGTTGCTCTTTAGCATATTTTCCTATTACTGTTATATTTTTATTTATATCAAAAGTCTGGAAGATTTGAATTTACCTCTATCCCTTTAATAATAGAATAATGTTCTGCATAAATCAAAGCATACTGTTATAGAACTACTAAGTAGATACATATTTATTGGAATAAGCAACCTACTGTAAAATGAAGATCCATTTATTCATAAATGTGCTTTGGAATCACCGATAGGATTTGAATTCTCATTCCACACTTTTATCCTTAATTTGAGTTCAGCAGCCAATATTTGAGTGCTTAAGATGCCTTCAGTGTGGCTGTAGAGGCTCAGGAGAATTGACACTATTATGCAGCCTAAGTTTAATATTCAGCAGTTCGGAGTAAGCCATGTTTTTTTGTTACTGTGTACCATTGAGTCAGAACTGACTCATAGCTGACCCTCCAGCAGGTTTTCAGAGGCCATTTAGTTGCATAACAGGAGACTGCCCATCTCTCTTCCACAGAGCAGCTGGTGGATTTGAACCACGTGCCTTCAGGTTGTAGTGCAGCTCTTTACCACTAGTCTACCAAAGTTCCCAGGGCTTCTTAAAGGGAGAGATTAAAACTAGAGAATGAATTCAAAAGTCATCTTCTGCACTTAAATGTCATTTAGAACTGAGAGACTAGATAAAACCTAAGGATGTCTTAAATAATAAAGAAAAAAATCTGAAATGGTTAGAGTCAGTCTTAGGACTGAGTCCTGAGACATACTAATTAAAGGTTAATGAAATTTAAAAAGTTTTAAGGAAATAAAATGACCTAGCCAGCAGAAGAGTCAGAGAGACTATGAAAGTAGTAGAAAAACCAGAAACATTATGATACAACACTAATAATACCTTCTTCACAGGCTTAGTTTGATGATTGATATAGTACATATAATGGAAACTTAGTAAGTTTCAGTTTTTCTTTTACTTGAGACATACGATTCCAGCCTTTAACTCTTTGGTCTGTAGTATGTCCATGGCCAGATCCAGTCCATTTCTGGCTATCTTCAACACTCTCACATCTTAATTCATCATTAGTGGGTTGTTTAGAGTCCAAAGTTAATGTGCTGTGAGAAAGAAAAAGTTTACATTTTTAATAATGTTTTACTTGAATTGGCTAATGTCTAAGTAGGGGGAAATGGTACTTAGGGGCACAGAGCCTTAAGCATCTCCATGAAAGGGCCAGAGGGAGTAAGAATAGCACAGCCCCCAGCACCCCCAAGTCGAAAGCAGATAAAGAACCCATAGCCCAGCCCTGTGGTGCCTTTAGAGCCACAGCAGCAGCAGCAAGAGTTTTCATTTATTTGATGCTAACTCCCAGTTATGATACCAACAGTGGAGTTTATTAGCGGAGGCAAAGAATATCTCACCATACAAATCCAGGCTTTAGCCTATCAGTGCCAAGACACAATTCCTCTAAGTCCAGGCTCTGGTTTCAGTTTAGCAGACAAGTAAAAATATCCAACAAGGTTTGCCTCAGAGCAGTTATAAGTTAGCTTCTCCTTCATACATCTTTTAAGAACAGCCAAACCTTTAACTGTGGCCAGCACAAGTGCGAGAAGCCTCAAGACGTTACCATCATTTCTCCAGCAGTGCCAGTCTCTCCACCACCAGGGTCTCACTCGCACCAAGGTCTTGACACCACAAGTCTTGCTTGCCTCAAGTCTTGCTGCTCAGTGTGGAAAGCACTCTTCTTGTTATCCTAGTACTATAGCTGATGCTGATTTGTAAGACCATGTGTCTACAGTTAAGGTAGTGAGAGACCAGAGGCAGCTGACTATAATGGCTTTAAAAAAGTGGAGATAAATAATATATACTGAATAATGTATAATTGAAACAGATGAGGGAGAGAACTGTTTAAAAGGAATATAAGATTAGGTATTATTTTCATGACAAGAATCCAGAATAAGAGCTGCATAGTAAAGTGTACTTGGTAGGTGGGGAGGATTATATAACAATTTTTTTTTCTCTTCAAGGAAAAGAGTGAACTGAGAGGAGGGGTGGGTAGGGAGGAAAGTGCAACAGTGTATGAATGGAAATCCATAGTCTCTCTAAACTTTCATTAACATTTAGAAAAAAACAAACCAAACCCCCAAAACAAAAAGCCACAATGTATCTTCACTTACTTTTCAATAAATACTGCTAATTGTGTGGGGGGTGGGGGTAAGCAAGCTTTGAGGCTAACACCACACAGTCAGCTCTGTTTCCTTTCCAAGGTAGTGTTTGTCAGCCCTTTTTTTAAAAAAAATTATTTTCTATTCATTTGCATACAGAAGTTGTATTTCATTTATAAACATTGTGTTTCATACATTCTCATACATGTGTTATATAAAGTTAATCACCTTTGACCTCTGCTTACTATTATCCCATCTTTTCAGGTCCACATTGGGTCTTCCTAATTCCTTCCATTTTAGCCCCTTAAGATAAGCCTTCTGCTGTCTTCTGAACATTCATTTTATGATCTGAGTCCTTAGTTTAAAGTTTTTACATTTGTTGCTGTCCTTTGCATCTTGTCCTTAATCTGTCTCCTGTATATCCTTTCTGAGAGCAAATGTCAGTGGATAACTACTCCCACTCTTCCTGCTGAAATTCTCTCTACATCATTCTTCCTCACCATTGGACCAATAAACATGACAGAAGGAGAAAAGATTGTAGTTGTCAGTAATCTAATTTTACTTGTATCTACGAAGCACCATGGTAGCAGCAGTCAAAAAAATCAAAAGATACTACATTAGGTAAATCTGTCAGGTACTTCTTTAAAGTGCTAAAAAACAAAGATGTCAGTTTAAAGATTAAGATGCATGAACCTGACCCTTGGTAGAATCATGGTATTTTCAGTTGTCTCATATGCATCTGAAATTTAGGCAATAAATTAAGAAGACTAAAGAAGACTTGGTATGTTTAAATTGTGGTGTTGGGCAGAGACTATTGACTCTATTGACATGGACTGCCAGAAGAAGAAACAAGGATGTCGTGGAGGCAGTGCAACCAAGGTGCTCCTTGGAGGCAAAGATGGCGAAACATCAGCTCACATACTTTGGGGTTGTTGTCAGAAGGGACAAGTTTTTGAAGATAGACATCATGCTGGGAAAAGTAGAGGATCAGAGAAAGGGAGGAAGATCTCAACTAGATGGACTGACTGACTGTAGCTTATTGGTTTTGAGCAAGGTGGAGATAGATCATGATGACTGAGCAGGATAGGATAAAGTTCTGATCAGTTAATCATACAGTTAATAGATTTAATTCTTAAAATAGTCCTTTTTATTCTATACCTTCTATTTTAAGAAGAAAACTAATAGTTTACTACATGAGGTACTGATTTCATGTTGAGATGATTTTTTTTTTCTGCACACCTAAGTTTATTGCTGTGTTATTCATAATGGCAAAGATATGGAAGTGACCCAAGTGCCCATCAACAAATGTATTACTAGAAAAACTCTGGTACATTCACAAAAGAATATTATGCAACTTTGAAAAATTATGAACTCATAAAACATTATAGAACATTGGGGAGTCTGGAGAACATAATGCTGAGTGAAACTTCTCAGTCACAAAAGGACAAATACTGCAAAACACTGTTGTTGTAAAGTAGGGTTTTGGGGAAAGAATAAGGAAAAAGTGGATAGATAATGAACACTGCATTAAATCAGATGAAGGGAAGAACTGTCTGAAAGGGATATGTGATTAGGCATTATAGAATACAATCTGGAACAAAGCATGCATTGCAGGCAGGGCTGGGGAAGGCAGGAGGGGAAGGGGAAGAGAATGTTCAATGACAAAAAAAATGTTTTTGATACTTAAAAAAGAAATTTTGAAAAATACAATATCTTGTATAATGCACACTTTAGTCTTTAAATTGATATCTTTGTTCTTTAATGCTTTAAAAAGTTTGCTGACAGAAGATTTTTCCCATACAATACATCTTTTAACTTCTTGACTTTTGTTATCATGGGTGTTGATTGTGAACTCAAGGGAAAGTGAAATCCTTGATAATGCCAATCTTTTTTCCTCCTTTCATGATGTTGCCTATTCATCCATTGGTGAGGATTTTGAGGTTTTTTTATGTTAAGGTGTAATCCATGTAGCCTGTAGTCTTTTGCAGTAATTGTTTCACGTCTCCAAATTTTTCTGCAAGCAAGATTGTGTCATCTGCTAAGGCAGATTGTTAGTGAGCCTGTCTACAATTCTGATGCCATATTCTTCTTCCTGTAGTTAAACTTCTCAAATTGTCTGCTCAGGCTTCCTTCTTGATTTTGAACCATGCAGTGTTCCTTGGCTCTGTTGGCACAGTAGCCACCTGGGATAGGTAGGTTTCACATGAGCGAACAAAGTGCTCTGAGACTCCCATTCTTCTCAGTGTCGGCCACAACTTGTTATGATCTACGCAGTCAAACGTGCCTGTGCATAGTCGGTGGAGCACAGATAGACATTCTGATATTCTTTCAGCCAGCATCTATCTGACATCAGCGGTGCTATACTTCTTGAACTCGTAGTTCCCTATCTATGTACTATTCTAACTGCTTTTGAATGATCTTCATCAGTATCTTGCTTGCATGTGTAATGATACTGTTCGATAGCTTCCACATTCTGTTGGATCACCTTTCATGAGTGCTGGATCATATGGTATTTTTATTCAAGCTTTTTAAAAGAAATGTGATACTGTATTCCATATGTGGTTTCCACTTTCTAGTCCTACCACAGAGTATAAGAGCTCCCACAACTATGACAGCATGTTTGCAGTCAGTGCCGTCTTTGTGGGAGCGAGATGGTATCTCATTTATTTACATCTCTCTAATTGCTACTATAAATACAAGCTGGCTTTGGAAGAGGCCATGGCACTAGGGACATTATAGCCAGTGTCAGATTATGGATCTTGGCTGAAAAAAAGAATACCAGAGGGATGTCTTATCTGTGTTTCGTTGGCTATGCAGAGGCATTTGACTGTGGATAATAACAAGTTGTGGCTGATGTTGAGAGGAATGGAAATCCAAGAACATCCGATTGCACTCACGCAAAACCTACACCTGGATCAGGAAGCAGAAAGCATATGTCAGAACAAGGAAACACTGCATGGTTCGGGGTCGGGAAGGGAGTGCGTCGGGGTTGTGTCTTGTCTCCCTACCTTTTCGATCTATATGTAGAACAGATCATTTGGAAGGCTGGACTTTATGAGGAGGAATGTAGCATCATAATTGAAGAAAGACTCAACAACTTGCATTATGCAGATGACACAACCTTGCTGAAACCAAGGAGAACTTGAAATGTGTGCAGCAAAACATCAAGGGCTACAGTCTTCAATATGAAATTGAAACAACATCAAAAAGACAAAAATTCTCACCACTAGGCCAATTGGCAGCACTATGATAGGTGGAAAAGAGTTTGATATTGTTAATTTCAGTTTGCTCAGCTACACAGTCCACACTTGGCACCAGCAGCCAAGAAATCAAAAGATGAATTGCATTAGGAAAATCTGTGAGGGATCTCTCCAAAGTACTAAAGGGCAGTGATGTCACTCTAGAGACTAAAGTATATCTCATTCAGGCCATGATCTTTGCAATTACCTGCCACACATAAGAGAGCTGGACACTGACTAGGGATGACAGAAGAGTTATTGATGACTTTCAGTTGTGCTGGAGAAGAGTATTGAACATACCACGGACTGCCAAGAGGATGAAACCAAGTTGCTCCTTGGAGGCAAGGATTTTGAAGCAACATCTCACATACTTGGGCATATTGCCAAGAGGGACCAGTCCTTGGAGAAAGGTCAAGGAAGACAGGAGAGGAAGACCCCAGATTAGATTGACACAGTGACTGGGATAATGGGGGTGGGTATGTCAGAGACCCTGAGACTGGCTCAGGACAGGATTCAGAGCTATTGTGCATAGAGTTTCTATGAATCATGAGCAACTTGATGGAATATAGCAACAATGGCTATTGCTATTAATACATAAAAGGAAAATCTTGCTGAAGATTATTTTTGAAATTCTCTATAAGAGTGTAGCACTCAATACAAATATGTTCACTAACTTGTTTAGATATGAGTTCATGTCATAGCTTTGGTTCCATGTTTGAAATTTCTTCCAGGCAGTAGCTTGGTGATTCCTCCAGAAAGTCTGGCTTTCAGTAGATTTTTAGCATCGACAAAACTGATCAGTTTAAGAATAAGACATGAGATGAACATTGAAAAGAGACATTGAAGGGTGTCTGCTAATAAAGTTTGGAAGGGCCTGTGCAGGAGGAGTTCTGAGTAGATTGCTAGTTCCATCCTGTAGGTTCTAATTGAATTGGTCAGACCCTCTAGAGCCCTCTACACTGATATACCTGCATCCACCACAGTCTAGACAGCTAGCTTGTTTTGGATATTAGCGAGACTCGTGGATCCTTTTCCTCCTCTTCCTTTCATTTAAAGCCTCCCAGGTGCTTTTGAGATACAGGATGTGTTGGGGACCATGGATATAATTATTTCATTCTACCAGTGTCTAAATCACTTGCAGTTTCTGAATGATACGGGATGGGATCTTAAACTTGTCAGAAGGGAACAGTGTTCAGATCTGTTGTTCACGGAGTCATTAGGAGTCATATTTGACTCAGTGGCATCTAACAACAACAGACATGTCAAGTGATGAGTGTAATCACTGTCTTCTTAGGTAGCCCATCTCATCCTTATTCCCTTGGTATCCGTTATTGATTGCATCCAGTATCACGCCCTCCCTTAGCCAGATGTCAAAATCTGTGACAAGTCCCTTCTATAAAATGATTCATATAATCTATACACATCTTTCTCATTGCTGTTAAGTCATTTTCACCTCACAGCAACCCTATAGGACAGAAGAGAAAAGAGAACTGCCTCATAGTGTCCCGTAAACTATTACATAAATGGACTGCCTCTTCTGTGTGCTACAGAGCAGCAGCTGGCGGGTTCAGACCACAAACTGTTTAGTAAAACAAAATCAGTGCTTAACTCTTTTGTGTCCCTAGGGCTGCTCAGGACAATGTAAGTGTTATGTATATAACAACATTCCCTCTTACACTTTTAGGGATGACTGTGATTGCCTAATTCTTCCTCCCACTTGCCTAATTGTTCAGCCTGTAATTTGAGTTTTGCGGTGCAGAACCCATAGATACAGAGGGCCAACTGTAGTTGGAAAGTTCCTTATACCAAATGGAAAATCTGTCCGTGGAATTTTTGCCCATTGGTTGGTTTCAGTTTTACATCCTAAATGTCTTTTCATGTAATTGAATTCTGAAATCTGGAGAGAGCTGCCTCAGTTATCTTTCTGCCAATGAAGTGCCATGTTTCTTGCAGTCCTTTTTTGATTAATCATAGTTGACTAAGATTCTTGTGTACTTATCTAAATGTTTTTTTGAGGTTTTTGAAATCTATTCTGCTTGTCAATGCTCTCTTTTTAAAAATTGGTCTTGAATTCTGTGCATTATTTTAGTATTTACCTTAAATTGTGTATATAAAAAAAGCTTCTTTTTCTATTTTTGTATCTTCTATGCTTTCCATCCTTTTCCTAACCCCCAGATACACACCATTTCTCATTCTCCTCAAGGCACTGTCTTGTTGATGAATATTTTGTTTCTGTTTCATAGGTTAAGAGCAGGATTATGTGATCGCTGTGCAGTGACTGAAGAGCATATGCGGAAAAAGCAACAGGAATTTGAAAATATCCGGCAGCAGAATCTTAAACTTATCACAGAGCTTAGTGAGTTTCCTTTCTTCATTTGTTAAGTCTTTAAAATATATTATCCTATTAGTGAATTGGTTGAAATAAAATGGATTGTTAACATATATTCTTCTTATTTAGATAAAACCACTTATTCTGCTCTCCTTTTCATATATTTAATCTCATGCTTATTTTAAAAATGTAAGGCTATAAAATGGTTATATAAATTCTGTCGACATTAGCCTTAAAGTTAGTCTTAGTATTAGAAAATAAGCAATTACCTTTGGATGTATTTTCATTGTTTAGATTATATTTTTATTTCTTATAAGATGGTAAACTTGGTAAAGTTAAAGAAAAAACTGTTAATTTAGTATTTTCCAGTGATTTGTACTTGTTTTTCATGACATACTTATTCGAGTACATAATTTTCAGTTCCTTTTTCTTACCTGTTCAGTGTAGAATTTTCCTCACATTCTTTTCTTAGCCTTTTTCCTCTTCTAACTTTTAATCTGTGTTTGTGATCATTACTTGGATTCTTCATATGTTGTTGTTAGGTACCATCAGGTTGACTACCAATCAGAGTGACCCAAGAACGACAGATCCAAACCTTTCGCTGTCCTGCACCATCTTCGCGATCTTAAGCCCATTGTTGCAGTCACTTTGTCAGTCCACCTTGATAAGGATCATCTTCTCTTTTTCCCACACATGATGTCTTTTTACAAGAACTGGTGTCTCTTGATTATGCTCAGGTCATGTTAAATGATGTTTCACCATCCTTGCCTCTAAGGAACAATCTGGTTTTACTTCTCCAGGGCATATTTGTTCTTTTACCAATTTGGGACTGGTATCCAGTTTGGGAAGATGTGTGGAGCAGTTGGATTCTACAAAAGTGTGAAAAGTGTGTTTTCTTTTTTAGTTGAGGATTGGGTGTTGGCTGTTTGCTTGTTTTTTTGTTTCGGTCACAATTAGATGTGAACTGATTGGATTTGGCCTTGTATTTAAAAAGGTAGTTAGGCCCTTGGGCTTGGTTTTGTTTTCAGTCAAATATTCTTCTAAATAATATAGCACTGGCCTGTCCCTTTGCTGTACAGAGGTAACTCGTGGTTGCTATGATGCTAAAGACTGTGACACTGATGTGTCAGATGAGATAATGGTTACCCATGATGGACAGTGTTTGGTGGAACACCTAGACTAAAACAGGCTTAGAAGTAGGAGTGACATCTACCTCCTAAATAGCTCATCTCTGCAAACTATGAACTTAGAGAAACGATAATAATTATAATTCAACAGGGTTCAGGTCTTTTGTTCTTAGGGTTACTATGAGTCATCTACGTCTCGATGACACTAACCAACACCTAGTATAATCAATACTCTTTATCAACACCATAATTCCTAAATCATTGATTCTTCCTTCATCTTTATTTATTGGCCAGCCTTCACACAAATAGGAAGCAGTTGAAAAGAACCGTGGCTGGGGTCAGATGACCCTAGTTTTTAAGTCTAGCTCTCTAGAGAGGCCTTTGACTGCAGATTTGCCCAGTGTAACACCTCTTTTGAGTTGTTAACTGCTGCTTTTATGGGTGTGGATCCGAGTAAAATGAAATCCCTGACAGTTTCACACTTCTTACTAATTTTGTCTAGTTGTGAAAACTTCTCCTTATGTTGAGGTGTAACATAGGATTCGCTCTTTCTCGGTAAGTACTTCAAGTCCTCTATCAGTAAAGCATGGTCATGTTCTTAAACTATTTTTAAAACACCAGTTTGTGTTCTTAAACTATTTTTTTATTTCATCCTTTAGTAATGTTTCTGTTTTGAACATTTTACCATTGTACTTTTTGGTCAACCTTGAAATTTTTTCCTGCTTTCTTAAGACAGTTTCTTAATCCTATTTTGAGTAATTAAAAAGCTTTGGTCATCCCCTACTATTTTAATGGTACTTTCACCCTGTTTTATTTTTTAATATTTTTTTAATTAACCCAACGTACTAGATTTTTAGAAAATAGAACCAAACACAATTGCCGTCAAGTCTTCCTTGGCTCATGATCTTATAGGACAGAGTAGAATTGCTCCATTGAGTTACCAAAGCTTCAGTCTTTACCAAAGCCAACTGCCATCCCTCTCCCTTCATTAGAACAGCTGGTCGGTTCAAATGAACTTTCTGTTTGATACTGAGTGCCTGACTATTGTGCTTCCAGGTCTCAGTTGTTCCTTTCTTGTGTGTGCTTGCTTTTATGCTTCAGCTTACAGTTTGATGATTGGTGGTGATATCTCTGCCTGAGCTCAGCAACTGAGTAGAGACCAGCATTTTAGTAAAAGTTACTATTTTTTTTTAAATTGAAGATCTTAATAGTTTTGTGGTGAGACTACTGAGTCATATCCTACTCTGTCACTTTTATGTGCTTGCTGAACTCACAGAAGTTCTTTCTCTTTGAGCTTTTCCTCTATTGCATATTATACTTTTCCTTCTGCAGTGCCTATTAGAAAGGTCCTGGGTCCTTCATGCTGCCTAATGTTTCTTTTATACTTTTTTTAAATTGCTGGATTCTGAAAGAATTACTCAGATGGCTATCAATCCTATCTTCAATCACATTTTTTTCTCCTTCATCCTTATAAGGTTTTTTTTTTTTATGATCTTTGTTTCTTTTTTCATGGTAGCTTGATGCTTAAAAAAAGAAAAAAATCAGTCTCCAAAATGAAGTATTTGTTGAGTATTGTTACTGTAGTTTTTGAATGGATTGGTTTTGCTAATTACAGTTGTAATTAACACCATAGTCCAGAATCCCCACTTTGGTAATGAATGGAGGGTTGGAAGGACATCTCATGGCTGAAGTAGAAGGCAAGGATGTGTGGCCAGAGAGCTTTCTCTTAGGCATTCTGGATAATTTATCTTTTGGGTGTGGTGCTATGTTCTTCTGTGGCTACTGTAAGTTTCTTGGGCACACTGACCTGATAGCTTTATCTCAGTATTCATTAATGAACTCTCCTGTGTCAAAATTTATACTTGAGAGTTTTGTCCTCTTGGTAATAGCTTGAGATCTAGCCTCATGGTTTTAGCTGCCCTTTGTTTACTCATTTAACTTTCTAGACTTTACTGTCTCTTTACATTGGGAATAATGTGAGATTGTCCTGGGAAAACTTTCTTTTATAATGTCCTTTTCTTCATTGGATCTTATCATCCGTTTCAGTCTGTTTTTAAATCATTTAGTAGTTTTTCATAATTTTTATTTGCATATGGTGCCTCTCCTGTCTTTTCAGTGTTACTCAAACCTAGTGCCACAGAGTTGATTCTAACTGATAGCAACTGTATAGGACAAAGTAGAACAGCTTCATAGGGTTTTCAAGGCTGTAAATCTTAACCAGAAGCAGATGGTCATATCCTTCCCCTGTGGTGTAGCTAATCAAACTATGGTTAGCAGTGAAGTGGTGTATCTACCAGGGCTCCTTTTGCAGTAGATTTCTTTCCAGAGCTGTTTTGTCATTCCATTTGAATTAGGAAAAGGGAACTAAGTAAACCAGTTTAATCAGAAATCTAAGGCCATCTTCAAGAAGAAGTTTGGGCTGCTTTGAAGGAAATGGCAAAAAATAAGGCTCCAGGAATAGATGGTATACCAATTGACATATTTCAGTTAACAGATGCTGCCATAGACATGCTCACCAAGTTGTGCCAAGAAATCTGGAGAACAACCACTTGGCCAACTGATTGGAAGAGATTGATATTTGTTCCTATCCCAAAGAAAGGTGACCCAACAGAATGTGGAAACTACAGAACAATCTCACTGATTTCACATGCAAGCAAGATTTTACTGAAGATTATCCAAAAACTACTGGAACAGCACATCAACAGAGAACTACCAGAAGTCCAGGCTGGTTTCAGAAGGGGTCGTGGTACTAGAGATATTGTAGCTGATGTTAGATGGATCTTGGCTGAAAGCAGGGAATACCAGAGGAATGTGTATCTGTGTTTCATTGACTATGCAAAGGCATTTGACTGTGTAGATCATAACAAACTATGGCTGACTCTGAGAAGAATGGGAATCCCAGAACACTTGATCGTTCTAATGCAGAACTTATACTTGGACCAGGAGGCAGTCGTCAGAACAGAGCAAGGGAACACTGCATGGTTCAAAATTGGGAAGGGCGTACGCCAGGGATGCATCCTATCTCCATACCTTTTCAACCTGTATGAAGAACAGATTATCCGGGAGGCTGGGCTCTATGAGGAGAAATGTGGGGTCAAGATTGGTGGACAATTTATCAACAACCTGCGTTATGTGGATGACACAACCCTGCTTGCTGAAACTGAAGAGGAACTGAAGCGCCTGCTGCAGAGTGTCAAGGACTGCAGCCTCCAATATGGATTGAGGCTCAATGTCAAGAAGACAAAGATTCTCACCACTGGACCAATTGGCAACATCAGGATGGATGGTGAAGAGATTGAGATTGTACACAGCTTTAGTTTGCTTGGCTCCATAGTCAACAGTCTTGGCACCAGCAGCAAGGAAATTAAAAGGCGCATTGCGATGGGAAAGTCTGCTGTTAGGGACCTCTCCAAAGTGCTGAAGAGCAATGGTGTCTCTGGAGATTAAAGTGCGTCTGATACAGGCCATGGTCTTCGCAGTCACTTGTTTTGCATCAGAGAGTTGGACAATGACCAGGGAGGATAGAAGGAGAATTGATGCCTTTGAGCTGTGGTATTGGAGAAAAGTATTGAGAATACCATGGACTGCTAGGAAAACAAACAGATTTGTCCTGGAAAGGGTTAAACTAGGTGGCTCCTTGGAGGCAAGGATTCTGAGGCTCCGTCTAACATACTTTGGACATGTTGTGAGGAGAGACTGGTCCTTAGAGAGGGACATCATGCTTGGGAGGGTGGAGGGACAGCGCAGGAGAGGAAGGCCCTCTCTGAGGTGGATTGATTGAGTGACTGGGATAATTGGGATGGGAGTGTCAGAGACAGTGCTATTGGCACAGGACAGAGCAGAGTTTAGGGCTGTTGTATATAGGGTCGCTATGAGTTGCAAGCGACTAGGCGGCACATAACAACAACAACAACAAAGCCATCTTTGACATCTCACCACTATGCCAGATGAGTTGTTAACTGTGCTTCTACCTCCCTGCTTTTGTCAGTACTTTTCATGTTGGTATATGATATGTTGTTGTTGTTGTTAAGTGCCGTCAAGCTGTAGGCAACTCATAGCGACCCTATGAACGAAAGTCCTCGACACTTGAGTGCGCGACTTGCATCCTTTCTCTAGATTCATAGGGTTTCCGGAGGCAAACTGTTTATGGAAGTGGATGCTACTCCTGCTTCCAAGTTTTAACCTGGAAGTGCCACCAAACACTGTCCACTGTGAGTAACCATTATTGCATTTGACACATCATTGTCACAGTGTTCACCTTCACAGCGACCACAGATTGCCTCTGCATGGCAAGTGGACACAGCAGCCTAGAAGACCTAGAAGAATGTTTGAATATACGTACTTATAAATGAATCTTCTCAAACTGAAACATAAATACAGAAAAATGGCAGCTGTCTTTAATCCTTACAATATTATTCAGGTGCCTTAGCTTGATATTGAAGACTTCCTTCCATTTGTTATACCTGACCTTTCTTATTTTGTTACCTTCATTTTCTGTATAAAAAGTCTCTTGTCCATTCAGTTGTCCTTTCTTTAGTGAATTCTTTCTTTATCTTAAAAGCTTAGAGTAACCTGTTCTTGTCTTGTGTGCTATTTCCTTTAGAACCTATTTCCCTCAATATTGGCTCATTCCAGTTTCAATTTTATAAAACATAATTGTGCATGACCTTTCTCTCTGATTAAAATATACTTTTGCTTAGCTTATCCTCTATATCTTAAGATTTTCTTTTAGACTCTCCACAGAAGATAGCGTCATAAACTTAAATTTGATAGATACTGAAAAATAAAAATCATTTGCTGAATTTAAGATGTGTTTAGATTTATAAATCACAGACTTATTTTTTTAGATAGTCAGGATATAAACTTTTTTGGTAGAAGCTAATTTTATATACTGTGTTTTGGATTTTGGGCCTGGGGCCTTGGAGTCTCCCTCCACTTTAGGAGTTGGCTGCTAACTAGCATCTCTATAGTGGTCTCGTCTTGATGGCAGTCACGTAAGGGAAGTTTCTGGGGTCCTCTTTGTTGTGTGTTACTGTTCCCCCCCCTAAAAAAAAGGTGGGTGGCCCTGAGTCTTTGACCTAGGGTGGAGGCCTACTAGAGGACGCAGCTTTAACATCCTGTAGGGCTTATTAATTTTAGAATGAATATTCTTTAAAAGACACAACAATCATTTGTCTTTTTGCTGTACTGAACAACTTAGAGTTGCCATCATGTCAGATACGATAATGTTTTCCTGTTAAGTACAATATTTCGATGAGCTTCCAGATTGATTCATGCTGGGAAGCAGGAATGGCATCCACTTCGTAAACTAGATGTCTCTGGAAACTCTACAAACCTTATAAACTCTGTAAATGTACAGAAATGATGTTAGTTATAGAATAGAGTTCAGATCTTTTGTGAAAAGCGTACTCTGAGTTGTATTCAACTCAATGACCCTAAACCACTGTTAAATGAAACTAGTGCAGTTATATCTGGAGGAATATACTCTTCCACTTTGTGCATCTTTGTAAATGTGCTGTATGAAGTAACCTGGGTCTGCTGTGATGCTGAACCTTGTGCCATTGGGGTATCAAATACCATAATGGTTTCCCAGTGTGGACAGTGTTTGGTGGCACTCCCAGTTGTAAAACAGGTTTGGAAGCAGGAATAGCATCCACTTCCTAAACCACACACCTCTGGAAACTGTGAACTTGAAGAAATGATGATAATTATGGAAAGTTTTGTTCATAGAGTCACTATGTGTCACACTCAACAGCAATCAACAACAACAACTCTTAGAAAAAGACATAGATTTTCAATGACATTGTATTAAATATTGATGGAGTTAGGCTGGCTACTGTGAACATCATAAATCGGATTTGGTTTCTGCTTTATAATAAAATTACATATGAATGGACAGGTAAATATAATAGAATGATTCAAGCAAACATACTACTTCAGCAGGCAATTAATTGCCTCTGAAAACTCAGAAGAGGATCAGTTCTGACTTGATGGGACCCAGAAACAAAAGTTATTAATGAAACAAATACTATGACTTAGAAGAGTATTTGGCTTAATATGTTTTATTGGGAACATTACACTTGCCATTCGTTGTTGCATTGCTTTTGTGATTGACTCAACAGCACAAGCAACAGTCACTGGCTAGTAACAAATTAGTTTTGCATCGTAGCATTTATCCTGACTTTTATTATGACTTGAAGGAGACCTGTCATGTAGGGTGACATATCATGTAACATATCAGGCTGCTAATCAGAAGGTCAATAGTTTGAATACAGATGTTGCTCCAAGGGAGAAAAATGAGACCATCTTCTCCTGTAAAGATTTATAGCTTCAGAAACCCTGTGGAGGGTTGCTATGAATTAGAATCAATCCAACTGAAGTGGGTTTATTATTACTGTTACGACTTGAAATTATAAATCCTAATTTATTAATAATTGTACTATTTTGTTAAAAATGCCTGGCATAGATGTTCCTATAACTGTTTTCTTATTCATAATGTATTTATTATGTGTCTTTCTTTTCACACTCTTTTAAGTGAATGAAAAGAACACTCTGCAGGAAGAAAATAAAAAGCTTTCCAAACAACTGCAACAGAAAATTGAGTAAGTATTTTTCCAAAATGGCTTCAGAAAATTTAGTATATTTTCTAATTTTCCTGTCTGTGCTCTACTTAGCCATACAAATTATTACACAGTGGTAAAAATTACAGATTTCACATATAAAAATTAGTGGGCAGAAGGGGAGAATATGAGGGAATAGGAAAGATTCAGTGGAGACTTGAAAAGATAGGGTGGTAGTAGCCATAGATTAATAATAATTACATAAAATACAGTTACATGAATGATTATATAAAATACAGTGTATATGAATGAAACACAATTATATGAGTGATAGTATGCAAAGCTGTATAAAAAAAGAAAGGAAAAAGTATTTTGCCATAAAAGATCACTGTATTTTTTGGTTTGTATTTGGAAGTATATATGAAGAATGTGTGCTGTTTTGGGTTAACATATAATCTGAGTCTTTTAAGATGAAGTATGTTTTAATTATCAGTGATGATTTATTATAAAAGAAAAATTATTAAAATCCTATTAGGTCCTTGAGTTGGTTCACTCAGCATAATGCTCTCCTGTCTCTCCCAAGTTAAGTAGTAATTTACAAAATCATTTTTTTGTGCTGTATAGTATTCCAGTAATTGTTTTTGGTCAAACATTCTTCTAAGTGTTATAGCCCTGATCTGTCCATTTGCTGTACAGCGGTAACTCGTGGTTGCTGTGATGCTAAACACTGTGACACTTGTGTGCCACATGTAATAATGGTTATCCAGGGTGGACAGAGTTTGGTGGAGCTCCCAGATTAATATAGGCTTGGAAGTAGGAGTGACATCCACTTTCGAAATAGCTTGCCTCCGGAAACTCTATGAACGTGGAGAAATGATAAAAGTTAAACAGGTATTCAGGTCTTTCATTCATAGGGTTGCTATGAGTCGTCTACAACTCAACAGGACTTAACAACCACAACAAATTAAATCCTTGAGTTATGAACATCCGGCAATGAGTTACTCATTGCTTGTCTTTATTATTCACGTAAATCTTGCTTCACTATGAAGTTATTGAACCAACTCTTATAACAGACTCTTCATTCTTCATTGCTCTCTCACATGTGCAGGTTTACAATCATTGGAAAGGCTTTTAGCTTTGCTCCCCCTGCCCTTTCACTAAGAGGAGGCTATGGTGGCTGTGCTGCCAGCCAAAGGCCACACGATTTGCATTCACTAGCTGCTCCAAAGGAGAAAGATGGACAGTCTCCTTCTGTTTGGTATACAGCCTCTGAAAACTCTCTGGAGGGTCATCTATCGGTTGGTTCAGACTAGAGGTCACATAACAACAATAAAGAAAGACTAACTAAGAGACATGTCTTCTAATTTACCTACAAGTTCAGCTTAAAGACACAGTTAGAAATGGATATCATGCATAACCCACACAATGTCTCCATTGCTACTTCAGATGAACATTTGAATTTTTTGCCTCACTTCCATCCCTGTCCAGGAGTTTCTTAAGTATTTTACTTCTATATAGTTCTCAGTCCTGGAGAACTGCCTCCCTCTGATCCTCCCTCCCCATTTTCTTTTGGAGTAAAAATACTAAATATCCAATATGGCACTTACTCTTCTGAGTATTCAGGCTTATTATTTTCTAATCTTTCTTGTGATTCTACAAAGTAGCTTTATTTTCCCTGCTTTACAGATGGGAAAACTATAGTTCTGAGAGTCAATAAAATGGCCTGTGGTCTCCCAGTAGGCACTTGGACCTTGTCTTCACACTGAAAACCTTGGTTCTATGAAAAAGGAAACAAAATAAACACAAACAACCCCCCCACCCCAGCCTTTTTCTGGGTATGGTATAAATAATGCAGAGCAGAGATATGGCTAGTTCTTATTACTCGTTTACCTAAAGTATGTGTAATATGTTCTAAGAGTTAGGAATCTGCAACAATGAATGAATGGAAATCCAAATTCTCTGTACATTTTTATTGAAATTAATAATAAATTTTAAAAAAAGAATAAAAGAGTTAGGAATCAGGATAGTTTAACTTATTTTAGATTCTGTTTCATTTAATTGGACATATACCAAATGTATTATTATGGCTTTCAATTGTTGTTGATTGCCACCAAGTCAAGCACAACTCATAGCGACCCTATGAACAAAAGACGTGAAGCATTTCTAGAACTATTGTCATTTCTCAAAGTTCATAGAGTTTCCAGAGACATGTTGTTTAGGAAGTGGATGCTACTCCTGCTTAGAATAGTTACTGTTTTTAAACATGTCTCACAAGTGGAATTAACATTTTTATTGGTATATTTTTAGATAATGAGTGTCTTAATTTTTTTCATTCCTCCCATGTAATCAGTCCACTGAACATTGGTATCTAAAGGGAATCTTGAGGGGGAATAATTGTCAGACAAGAAAAAGACACTCAAACAGATTATCAAATGTGTATGTGGCAATATCCGCACCTTTCCATTTTTTGGATTAATTTATGTTGTATGAAGTGGTTTAGTGTCTATAGTTTATATTATTTTGAGCAAATAAGCTTTGATATTTATGAGTAATAAAGACAGATAAGATACAAGCTGTGAAGAAGATAGTGAATAATAAAGGTTTATACAGAATTGGATACACAATAGCCTCAAAACTCAAGGGATATATTTAAACTGGATGCTGGCATTTGCTTAGTAAAAAAAAGAAGTTCTAATTTAGAACATTTCTTTTTAGTGCTCAAATTTCTAAATTTTCATTGAAGTTTATTAATATTTCAATAAAAAAGACTAGAGCTAGACATTATAATGAAAGTTAATCATACATGGTTTTGGTCATGTGTGTTTTGTTTAATGTCATTATAGAACCCACCCTGGTGGTGTAGTTTATTTCATGTCAGGCTGGAAACTGAAAAGTCAGTGGTTAACATTCACAGGGGCCTCCCAGGGAAAAAGGTGAACATCGCCTTTTAAGGTTTACAGCCTCAGAAACCCAATGGAGGGTCAGCTATGAGTAGGTGTGGATTTGACAGTTGTGAGTTTGCATTTAGATCAAAATAGGAGACAATCTCTCTTTGATTTCCATCCTGAAATTTAAGATATTAATGAGTCTAAGAGCCAGCTTCTTTTTTTTTTACTAGATGACACACAACAACAATGCACATTTAATTGAAATAACAGGATGTCCAAGAAGTCAGAAAACGTAGAATAAACTTATTTTAAACAGTCTGTTAGTTTTACTTTAAAATAATATGCTTAGTGTATTTTTTTAAACCCCTGAACAACTTTCCAAGCAGTTTTGCCAACTTTAAAACAGCTGGACCTAGTCTTAATCTGAAAGGACAATAAATATAAAATATATTAAAAAAATCTTATACACAGAGAGCCAGCTTCTTTTATAGCTTGCTCTCTACCAAAACAATAAGAAAAATAGAATACTTTATCTGGTAGCTTAAATCATCTTATAAATATTGCTTCGTTTTCTCTAACTAACCCACTATAGCATTATGCTATTTGTGCCATTCCCCTGATTTTTATAGAAATATTATTTGACTTAAAATTCTGTTATATGTAGTGATTCTGCCTTACCTGAAGTATTTATTGACCAAACAGTAAGACATTTGCCATTGTAGAGTTTTAAGTATACAAAATACACACAAACACAGACAACGCACGCACAGCTTGGAAATTTGAATCCAGAAACCTCAGTTGAGAGTTAAGTAACTTTTTCTTTTTTCTGATTGATAGCTGTCGATCCTGTAGGACAGAATAGAACTGTCCCATAGAATTTCCAAGGCTGTGATATTTACAGAAGCAGTCTGCCACATCATTCTCTGTAGGAGTGGCTGGTGGGTTTGAACTACTGACCAATGCTTTAACAGGACTTCTTGCCATTTTATAATCTTGTGCTATTAATATGGACTCAAGATGTTACCTGTATGATGTCACTCTTTGGGTAGTGGAGCCAGGGCCAATTTTACTGATTCAATTCAGGGAGAGTTTTATAATACGTATATATGTATAACATAGATATGGTCACAGTATTCATCCCAGGCTCAGAGGATCCTTCAAGGATCCCTGGTGATGAAAAGGTTAAAGCGCTCCACTGCTAATCAGTATTTTGACTGACCGAACTCAACAGACATTCTTCAGAGAATGATCTGGCTGTCTACTTCCATGAAGATTTAGGATCTTGCACACCCTTTGAAATAATTTTATTCTGTTATTTCAGAGTGCTACTCATGTACAGTAAGTTTGATTTTTAGGATTCTTCATGTATTAATTCTTTTTCCTGTTTTGGTCTTAGTTTCGATCTTTTACAAATTTGATGACTAGTTCACCATTGTTCGTTTATCAAGATCATTAAGAAATTGTTGAAGAAAACTTGCCTAAGGATGAACTGTTGATGTGTATCACTACAGATAGCTTCATTAATGATAATTCTGTTTGTGGGTGTTATTGTTCAGTCAAAAGTATCTTATTGATACTTAGTTAATGTTTTCTTGATTTATTTGTAATGAGAGAATATCAGTAGAATTATTACCGAGTTTTTCTTTAAAAACTTATGACTTCGGTGAAAGTTTATAGAGCAAATTGATTTGTAATAATACACATTTTGATTCATGACACTGATGACAGTCCCCACAATTTAGCAGTACTCTATTATTTCCTTACATAGAATGACACCCTCTGGGAATATAGCTCTTTTGATTTTGGGAATTTTTGTTGCTTATCCATTTATCCACTGATGGATCTTTAGACTGTTTCTGCCATTTGCCTACTATGACTAGTGCTTGCAGTGAACATTAGAATACAAGAATCTTTTAAAGTCCCTGCTTTTAATTTTTGGTTTCTTTCTTTTTTTTTTAAATTTGTGGTTTAAATGATAATTTATAAATACAGTTTGGTTTCTCCTTGAACAATTCATACATATTTTGCTTTATGACACTGATTACAGACCTTACAATGTAACAGTCTCTTCTTCTTCCCTGTTCACTATTCCCTTTTTGCTATGACCTTCTCTTTTTCTCACATGGCTAGTTGGAGAACGTGAAATCCAGTGGT